ACAGTACGAGAAGTAAAAGTCACACAGAAGCTCTCTGATGAAGCAATATAACTTGAAAACCAATCAACAATCCCATCTTTTGTTTATCTACCCCAAGAACATTTTTATGATTGGCGTGAAACCATAAAACACCAAACAACTGAGCCACTGGCTGTCTTACCTTATCTGCTATGCTGCTGGGCTCAGTGTGTGCTAGATCTGGACTAGGGGTGTCCACCACTACTACCCCATTGCCACCTGCTGCATCCTCTTCAGCACCTGGGGAGCAACTCAGAGGGTGCTTGATATCATGTAAAGACTTCTGCCCAGATGAGGGCAACGATTTGGGAGTACTTGAGCCTGACATAATCAGGTTAGTGTAAAAAAAAAAATGGGGGAAAAAAGAGCAGTCTGATCTCACCAGCCAAGAGCCATTGGCAGACAGGTAGTTGTATATTTAGAAAAATAAATAAATATGAAGGAGTGTTTAGAAAGAGGATTGGTACAATCGGGGGTCACACCCAATTAGAAAATGTGGAAAGCTGTCCAGAGAGGTTGAAATGTCAAGATAACATCAGGAGAAGCTCCGAATCCCCCTCCTGTCAGGAAACAAGCTGATGGTGTGACTGTCTGCTATATAACCTTTATAGACTCTTTCCACATCATGCAAACTCCAACGTTCTGTCTCTGGAAGTAAAGCAAATGCCTCTTTCAGCTCTTCAGTGTTGGTCTTCTCCCTTTGCTCTCCGGTATAAGGCTTGTTGATCTAGGAGGGCAGAGGGATGAAAGTAATGCTACGGTCCGTTTCTATTTTCTAATCAAAATGATAAAGATATGTTGTATTATTATTTCTATGGGAGAATGCCATGCAAACAGTGGAAAAAAATAAGCAGGGGCAGCTGTAAGACTTCAAGCCTTTCAGAGACTCCTCCTTTTTCTCTTTCTCACTCTTTTTTCCTCCATCCCGATTTGACACCCTCCCAGTGCCTGTGACTAAGAGGAAGTTAAACCTAAGGCCTTGGTTCCAGGAAGTGTTTGTATCGCTGCAGCCTCTATAGTGCTCCCCCCTCGCAGGAAGCATGCTCTCTGTATACAAGCGTTTTGTTGAATCTCAACAGCAAAAAGTTAGCTAGTTATATGTGCATTTCGAATTAGTGATGAGTGTGTATATCCCACACTTATCTGTTTATTCGTTTGTTAATGTATTCAGTTGGTTTTGCAGACAAATCTAATTTGTGTATAATTTGCGAATTTACTAATCATATATATTATTGCTGGTATGTGTAATTTTTTATAAAGTTTGTCTGAATTGACCGTTAAAAGAACACTCTAGGCCAGCCATGGTCAACCTTCGACACTCCAGATGTTTTGGACTGTACCCCCATGATGCTTTACCAGCATAATGGGTGTAAGAGCATTATGGGGGATGTCGTCCACAACATCTGGAGTGCCGAAGGTTGCCTACCCATGCTCTAGGCACTGTAACCACTTCACATCTAAAGTGACAGCCCTTTTGAGCAGGGTCGTCATCAACTTATTGTTCCGGTAACATCCTGTAGTTGTCTTATTTATCAATATATTAAGTAATTGCACCTTGCACTGTATAAATGCCAATAACTTGGCGCTATATAAATGCCAATAATAATCTTATTGAGGTGGTTATAGTACACGTAGTACACTGACACACCAACCACTCTGTTCAATGTTAAATGAGCAAGGCAAGCACCTAAGGCACGTCAGCTTGCAGAATGTTTTTTTTATTTATTTATAAAAGTTCAGATTTCAATAGAAATTAGCACTATTACAAATGAACCTTGTTACGCCTCGCTACCTACTAATCAGACAGCTGTTCCTATTACTTCGTTGGTTAGCTCTGTGGAGCTAAACTCAAGAGGCAGGCAATTGCCACGAACACCTGTCTTGCAAAAACTTCTTAAAGGACACTTAAATGGGGACACTTAGGAGGTATATGTTATTGTTAAGTAAAATAAAAATTGTTCTGTCAGGACTAAAGGTTCCCTTCTATGCACCCCCCTTTACTACGTAAAATAAAGTTTATTCTCCTCATTTCCAGCTCTCAGACCCCTTTGCTCCAGCTTGGACCTAGGCACGTACGGCCAAAAGGCTCTCTCCCCCAATCAAAGAGGAGTAAGTTAGAGCAGCAAATTAAATTTCTGGCGCTTGCTTCTTGTATTTACAGCAGCTTAACCTTCCCAAACCAGAGTCTCTTCCTTCTGGTCATAGATACAAATAAAATGGGGAGTGTAAGGAAGCAGCGCTTTACATATAAAATCCTTGTGTAGAATCCAATGAAGCAAATATAAGAGAAAAAACAAAATGGGGCAGGAATACAAATATAGTATATCTATAAAAGCAGAGGCAAAATACAAAGAAAGATATTGCACTCACACTTTTCTGGAGCTAAAGATCAGTTCCAGATTACAGCGTATGTAGATACACAACGTGGGTTATTGGTATAAAGTTATGATACAGAGGGGATCAGGACTATTCATACATCCACAGAAGGGGATTGTGTCATCCATACACTGTGATCTGGAGCTGATCTTTAGCTCCAGAAAAGTGTGAGTGCAATATCTTTCTTTGTATTTTGCCTCTGCTTTTATAGATATACTACACCAGGGGAGGGCTGGCAGCCTTAGGTCTGGGGGGCAAAACCAGTCAAGTGGCCCATTGCACCACCAAATCAGTTCACCATCCATGCCCACCTTTTCCTGATTTTATAACGGATATTGATATTATGCTAATCAGTAGCTCTTTGCCATACCCGCTCCTTCACGGCTCTGACTTTCAATGTTGTCAGAGCGCAGGCTGGGAATCTCTGAGCCTGTGCTCTGACTCACTAACTGAGCGCCGGAACCACGAGGGAGAGGATATAATCTGACTGCACCTACTGCTGGTGCGTACCAGTGGACCACCAGCGAATCGTTTAAATTGAATATGCTGGTGTCCCCAACTTGTGAGCTGTGTTGGCCGCCGGGCGCCTCTGTTGTCATGGGTTTTTGCCGCCCTAGGCAAAAGAAAAATTTGCCGCCCCCCCACCCCCCTATGTGACATCACAATGCCCCACCCATATGATCTGCCATATGAACACACATATGAGCACACAGTGTCTGTTTACATTAAAAAGCCTGCAGGGACCAGCTATAGACACCAGAACCACTTCATTAAGCTGAAGTGGTTCTGGGGAATCTAGTGTCCCTTTAATGTGAGGTAAATTATAGATTAGTGTCACTAATATTATACTAGATGAGGATGATGATGGGCTGCAGTTTGGCTCCACTGGTCTGGTGTAGAAGAGGCTCTCTGGAGGCTGTTTGCAACTGTGGTCACAAAATTCAATGTTCTGGGAGAATTGGAATTTTTTTTGGGCCCCTTACACAGCTCAAGGTCTGGGCCCCAGGGTCTGACCGTGAGTATGCCCATAAGGCCCACTCATAAGTCCACTTATATGTTTCACCCACCCATGAGTTCGTTCACAGGGAGTGGAGTGTGTAGGGGATGTGTTATGTGTTATTGTAGAGGATCTAATGTGTGTGCTTATGGTATGCAGTGTATAGGGATACCAGTTTGTGTAGGTGATGCAGTGTGTTTGTGTGTTTGTGTGTAGTGGAAGCAGTGTGTATTTGTGTATAGGGATGTATTGTGTGTTTCTGGTTGTGTGTAAGGGATGCATTGTGTGAATCTGTGTTTGTATGCATAAGGGATGCAAGGTGTGTGTCTGTATGTGTGTGCATTGAGTGTGTGTAAGAGATGCATTGTGTTTCTGTGTGTATGTAAGAAAAGCAGTGTGTGTGTTTGCATGTGTGTGTAAGAGTTTGCATTGTGTGTTTCTGTGTATGTGTGCAAAGGATGCATTGTCTTTGTAAGGGTTGCATTGAGTGTGTGTAATGGATGCATTGTGTATTTATGTGTGTGTAAGGGAAGCATGTTGTGTTTCTGTGTGTGTAGGGATGCATTGTGTGTTTCTGTGTATGTATAGGGATGCATTGTGTGTGTGTGCGCCTAGTGTGAAAGAGCTCCCTGTCTTGCCCCCTGTCCTATAGAGCTGTCCCTTCTGTCCCTTAGAGCTCTCCCCTGCCCCTTAGTGGTCTCTCCTTTCCCCCCACCCTCCACTAGCAGTCTCTTCTCACACTCACCCCCTCCGTGTGTTCTAATCACCTCCCTCCCCTGTGTTCTTCTCACCTCCCCCTCCCTCTGTTCTCCTCATCTCCCTTTCTCCTCACCCCCCTCCCTGTGTTCTTCTCACCTCCCCCCTCCCTCTGTTCTCTTCATCTCCCCTTCTCCTCACCCTGTGTTCTTCTTACCACCTCCCCCTCCCAGTGTTCTCCTCACCACCCAGATCACTGCCCGACCTCCCTCCGGTCCGGTCCAAAGCGGGTGTGACGCTCTTAGGAGCGCTGACTGCTGCGGTTTGGATATTTGTAAAATACTTACCTTCGCCCACAACAAAGATGGCGCCAACGAGCATTCGGGTCTATGGGGTCAGAGGTCGGAGGCAGCCAAAGGAGGGTTATTTAAACCCAAATTACCTTTGGTTCAGTGCCCTGTCATGGTTTCCCTTAGTTGGTTATCAGAGAGTGTGTTCCTGTTCGTTTAAATTCTGTTTTTTGACTTTGGCTTTGTTTTGACTCCCCTGATTTCTGGTATCCTTGACTTTTGGCTTTCCCTCATCGTTGTGTCTCCTTCTATATCCCTGACCTTGGCAAGTATTCTGACTATTCTCTGGTACGTTATATCCGGCCCTTCTAAAGTCCAGTAAGACGTTAGCTTTAGTCCTAGGTGTGATATAATTTTATGTGCTGGATCAACTAGTAATCCTGACACTTAGTTCTTATTTCTTAATACTGTGTATTGCCCACTTTAGCATCAATGACTGCGTGCAGTCTTTTGTAGTAGTTGTCTATGAGGCCCTTAATTCTTGCAGGTCGTATATAAATGCCCATTCGTCTTGGAAAAATGAAAAGTCTTTGGTTGTCTTGCATGAACCGCACATTTCAGATCTCCCCAGAGTGCCTTGATGATATTAAGGTCAGGAGACTGAGATGGCCACTCCAGAACCTTCACCCTTTTCTGCTGTAACCACTAGAGGGTCAACTTGTCCTTCTGCTTAGGGCCATTGTCATCCTTGAAAGCCCAAGAGTGTCCCATGCACAGCCTTCGTGCAGAAGAATGCAAATTGTGTGCCAGTATTTTCTGATAACATGCTGCATTCATCTTGCCATCAATTTTCACAAGATTTCCCGTTCCTTTAGAGCTCACACACCCACAAACATCAGTGAGCCACCACAATGCTTCACAGTGGGGATGATATTCTTTTCACTATAGGCCTTTGTGAAGGATCTCTTGTACTTACCTGTGTGCCTTCAGTTATATCCTCTCCCTGCTGTTTATATGCTTGTATTCAGTTCGTTTGATTATGTATGGGAAAGCTTGTATTCGTCTACCGAACGCGAGACCACCTACCCTGGGTAGCAATCAGCATTAGAATGGGGAGAAAACCGCAGCTTAATTGCTCCTGGGTGGCCGCCATTCGGCATACGAACACGTGGTGAGAACAAAGGATGGTGGCCATCTTAAAACTCACGAACGCGGTCAGCGGGCATACACATGAATTGCCTGGAACTATTTTCGGCAAGGCAAACATGCAAACGCCCGGTCTTCATGGAAGTCCTGGATGTATACGTTCCCCTCCACGAATCAAACTGGCATTCAGTAGACAGAATCTACCGAACGAGGGGAACATTCGTATGTAACCAGCTACACCATACGAACGGTGGTTTTCGTGTAGTTAGATGCTAACAGAGACCAGCTCTTGCTACTGATTCTATGGAACTCTAGCTCGGATACCTCCACATGGCAAGCCGGTCAAACTTCCACACGATGCGACACGGAAACTACCGAACGGAAATTCGTGAGATTTGGATATATGACTAAAAAATTATGTTTGTATGTAATATAAAAAGTACTTTTCTGAAATTGTTAAAAACTGTAATGTTTATGGCCAGCAGATAATTGA